CATTCTTTTATCTGTAGTCCACATATGACTCAGACAGAAATAAATGCATCAAAAGTTCATCTATGGAAAAAAATTGAGCCTATAAGATTCATTTTTAATAACTCAGTGGGACAGCAGGCCACATGAGTAACATCTGTCAACACTAATTGAACTGTTCTCTTAAAATAGGTACATTTGATTGTATGTACACCTGAAAGTTCTACTGAATTTTCTGTATACAAGAAGATTCCCCACCCCATCATAATTTAGAATTGCCTTCGCAGAGATAATAAACTACAGAGCATATTATCGCAGTTATATGAGGGGTCTTCAAAATGTTCATGGAAGGATTTGTATTATCTTTTAATTCAATTTTTCTGTGAATATTTTGAAGTACTCTCATACACATTATGACACCAAATCCATTATAAAGCACATTATATATGTCAAAATATCTTTCAGTCAAAATCTCCTATCCTTCAATTCTTCCACCTAAAAATATACATCCTAAATGTAATTAGAAGGCACCACAATTTTTTGAATTTTGTACTTGAAAAGCTATGGACATGAGTGAAAATCAGCAGACAAGTATAAATAACGACTTTCACTGGTAATCCTTTTTCTCACTGCAAAATGGCTAAGAATGACTTTGTTTTGATAAGTTTTATTTTATTAACAGAGTTTGAAGGAGAGACATTTTCTGGAAATGGATAATTTACACAGAAATGGAAAACTTGTGAGAAATTTTTTATGAATCCTCATTTATCTGGAAGTCTTGGTCAGACCTACAGCACAATAAAAACTCTTTTATAAGAGAAACCCATGACTCTTGGTAAATACTTCTTAATTCTAATGTACTGTAACACTGAAATAAATTTTAAAACAGAATTAATATGAAATCAGGAAGACATAAAACTCCTAATATATTTATTGCTATCTAAGGAAAGGTCCTTAGATAGACTACTGTTCCAGAAAAAACAACTAGTAACACCTCATTCATTATGTTCATAGTAATGTTTCTGTTGACAGCTCTCATCATTCATCAGAGACAAAATTTTCTACATTTATTAGCTAATAATGATTGCCAATGAATGACAATTTTATATTAGAATTTCACAATCTCAATTTTTAGCAGAGATCTAAAGCAAGGTTTGTTTTCTCAAATACTGGTAACTATAATCAAAGCATCAGATCTCACTGGAATTCATAAATGGTTATCCTTTAAAAGAGAATTAGCAAGGGAAACTCATATAATTCATTTTTTTCAGTATTTCCTGTAAGCAAATATATATTACACATAACATTAAATTTTGCTTAGATACTGCTATTGGTTTTAAGATAAGGTTTATAGGTACAGTGTGAAATGCAACTGTTTCATAGCTTCAGTAACCCCTATGCCTGTCTATGAACTGTCATTCTATAAAACATTAACATGGGAGAACAGAGATGAAAGTGATTTAGCTGAAGTTATCTCTTATCCTACAGATGACCAGGGCAGATTCAATTTTTCTGGCTGGGTAATCTTATATAATCTTTCATCCTTCCAAAGTTCCAAAAAACTAGGTAACTTTATGCTGGAAACTTAAGACATATAAGTCACAAAACTGGAAAGCAGTAAAGATTTCAGTTTAAACCAATTATTTTAATTATCAATGGAATACTAAGTACGACCATAATTAATAGGCATGCTATTACAGTTTCAGTAGATTTTTTCCTTAAGAGAAAAAATCTGTTAAGCTGCTCTGGGTTGCAGGTCTGCAGTATCTCCCCAAATCCTCCTTAATTCATTCAATAAATATTTATTAAAAACCTACTATACACCATTTAGGACTACTCAAAATAATCATTTTTTTGTATGATTTGACATGGAATGAAGAAAGTTTTTTTTCTACCAAATGGAAAAGTTTTTCTTCCACTAAAAATCATCAAAGATCAGTGTAACCTGCATCTATTGCACTATTACACTATTATTTCATTACATATGTCTATTGCATTACTAACTTTTAAATTTTATATACTTGTACTTTAGAGAAACTTTCAGGGCCAGTGTAACTAAACTTAATTTGGAGAGACCTAATCTGAGTTTTTCAAATAAGTTACATTTCTTCATACGGGTCCTAGTAAACATATGCAAAAATATAATCCTCTGAGTTAAAGTTGACACCTGACTTGAGAATGTCCCATGTACTCAAGATACCTAGCTTATAAACTACCTCCCCTCAATACCAAGACTACTCATTCAGGAATGCTACCAAATTACACCACAGTCCTTTCTTTTTCTCTTAAGAGTTAGGCCTATTCTGCACTACTTTTGCTTTGTTCACATCTCACAATTCCATCAATTCTTTTCAGGCCATCTCTTTAATCTCATAATGGAAAATATGTGTCCCTAAACCCCTTTTATTTTTTGGATACCTTGTGTATTAGTACATTTCTGTTGCTTATAACAGAAATACCTGAAACCTGGTAATCTGTAAAGAAACTATTTATTGCTTAGTTTCAGAGGCTGGGAAGTCCAAAGTCCAGGAAACACATCTGGTGAGGGCCCTGTACTCGGTGGTGGCTCTAAAGTGACACAGGGTATCACATGGCAAATGGCTTAAGTGAGAGAGACTAAGCTTCTCAGTTGCTCTCCTTATAAAGCCATCAGAACCATGCCCATTACTCCACTGAATGGATCAATCCATTCACAAGGATGCAGTCCTCACAATCTACTCACCTCTTTAAGGCCTGACCTTTCAATTACTATAACAAGATTTCCCACCCTCTTAACACTGTCACAGTGGGGATTTGATTTCAATGAGTTTGGGAGGACATTCAATCCACAGCACCTTGAAAAATTACTCAACTCCACTTTTGTGAACCAAAGAAACAGTTTAGCCCTTATGAATTAACTATTTATCAGGTACCTACTATGTGCCACGCACTGAGCGAGGCTTCAGGAATGGCTGATAAGCATAAAAGCAATGGCCAGAAATATTCTTGAAGTAAGGAAAAGAGAAATCACTGATTTCAATATCAGATTAGATCTTATGAACAGTGCAATCAACCTTGGAAGGTGGTGAAAGTACCTAGAAATCCTATTTATAAGCATCCTTCCAATATCCATCCACCTCTATAAACTTGCCCTCCCTCAAGCATCAATATTTGGGATAAGTAAAAATAATGCCTTATTCAACAGAATTGTTTTATATTTAGTTTTACCAGTAGAATTTATTTTCTAGTATTTTTCAAGGTGGTGATAGTTTTTTTAAAGTGTGAATAAAATATATTCTTAAGCTACAATAAAAGCCCAACAGGTACTTGATAAATTGTTTCCCAGGGATGATGAGTTCCAAATTCCCAACAACCCACTCACAAACTTCTGAAACACAAAGTATTTGTAAATTGGAAATGACTTATTTTTTATTTCTATATTTATACTCCTATGGCCTTAAGAAATGCTGCCACCACTAAGATAATACCAGTGAATAACTGGTTTAAAATAAAAAATTATTCTGAAGATGTAAAGCTGTATGCAAATTTCCAATCAGTCTTAGAAAGAGTAAGTGTAGGAAATTCTGTAAAGAAGTAAAAGATGGTTTGTGATATCATCTCTACTATGTTTACCTTTGACTTTAAGTGAAAAGGAAGTCCAGAAAAGGTTTCCACAGACCAGCTGAGTTGCTTCTTATATGTACATAGGTCAAGAGGCTAAATATTAAAAAAAAAAAAAAAAAAAAAAAAACCCCACAAAACCGCACAAAACAAAACCTGTTCTACAGGATTCTGTACACAGAGAGGAAATACTACAGAAAGTACAGCCATTTTGTGTTACATCTAGGGTACAAACCCTTTTAGTGTGTTTACTGACACTGCAGAAGTTTTAATTTAAGCTAAATTGCTCTGCCTTAAAGAACTCACTTGAGTAAATAACTAAGGACATATATATTTCTTGAGGCTAGTATGAGGGTAGATTAGAAGCTTTGCTTATAGTGGTGCATCTTTATACAATGACTCAATTTAGCAGTTAAAAATATATGAAGGTACTTCAAAAAGTTCATGAAAAAATGGAATTAAAAGATAATACAAATCTTTCCATAAACTTTTTGAAGACCCCAAGTATACTTCCTTTCTCCTACAGAAGAATGATTACATGCCTTACACTCATGCCTTTAAAAATATATATCTGTATACATAATGAGCATAAATCTCCTATTTTGATTATACAAATGAAGGTTTATTAGAATGTGAATGGATATTTTAAGAGTTTATTTTTCTTTTCTCTGCTCTATTGCTTACACACACACACACACACACACACACACACATCTGGTAATAATACTTCTTCAACAGAACAAGATTTTATGAGAGTTTGGTACCAGCTATAAGAACAAAATAATTGCCTTATTTCTTAGCTGAGAAATCCTTGTGTATTCATTTTATATCAAACAGCAAATTCAACATGTAAATTGTCTAATTCTTATTTTCATTACAGAACTTTAGAATAATCAGGTGTCACTTACTGAATCTAACAGTAGTATTCAACATTTAAATTATATATCCTTTTAATTAAGGGTGTTAACATTTTTATTTGAATTAAGAGGGAATGCTGTCATTTATAACAATTTATAATAGCAAACATCACAATGATAACTTTAAATTTACCAACAATAGACAAAAAGAAATAACTTTTTAATTTTCATGCAGTTGAAAGACAAACATGAAAAATGGTATACTGCCACTATTTTATTTTTGGAAACTCTTTGTAAATAAAAACCCATTTCCAAAATAAGATATTCCAAGGACACAGAATAGTTGGTAATGGTTCAAGTGCCTTAGGCAACAGAGAAGTATTGTTTTGTAGTTGTTTTTTTAAACCTCTCCTAGTAACAGCAATCCATCATGCACAAAGAAACAAGGTAACAGCATGGTTTAAAATGAATATATAAGCACTAACTGTAGAACCTCAATTAAAACTAAAGTTTACCATATTAATTCCATTTCTACAAACCAGTATAAATAACTTTGTTGACACTCACCAAATGTTACAGGAACTCCCAGGCAGATCTAAGCAACAAAAAGTAGACACATGATGAGGTGCTGAAGACAGCTCTTTCTTGGTCTCAAAGCACTTTAAATGAAGTAGCCTTTATCTTCCATTTAAGAGAGGTTGCCTCCTATTATCATAGCATGGCAGAGAAAAGAGTTTCCACAATTCTGTCTTGACTTTCTGCCTCTCTTTCTTTGAAGAGTAACAGTTACCACAGAAAATGATCACTTGAACACTCAAATTGAGCAGCTGTAAATTTCCACTCTGCTTGCTCTCAGATTCCAAGCCTTGCTTGACTCTTAATCTGTCACAGGCAGTTCTGTTTCTGGTCAAACCAGCTTGCTTATGTGTCCTCCTCTCCCTCTCTACCACATGTTTTAAGATACACACCACACAGTCACAGCTCTCTTTTTCTTCCTCCCTCCCCAATTGTGTAACATCACAAGAAAGCTCAGAAAGCAAATAAGCTGGGGCAAAATTAGTTCTTGGGGGAAAAAAAAAGTCCAGAGATAAACACAAAATTTTTTCTCATTACTTTACTTTTTTTCCCCCCTTAAGTCTTATACTTTTTCAAGCATGGGGTTTTGTCAACTGATTAAACTGGCTTGACCGTCCTGTTTTAAAAAGTAAATAAAGGTTTCTAACAAAGGCATGTTGATACTAATAATAACATATTCATCTGCTAATATGTTAGCTCCTCAGGAAAGATGCTATTCCCAAGCATAATAAGGAAGTAGGGCAAGTAAATTTGCAAGTATTATGAATTTATGAGACCAAGGAAAGAGCTGAATTACGAATTAAAAAGGAAGATTTATGTTTAGAGTAGTTATAATTTAAATTTAACAGTGTAATTGTATGAAAATCTCATGTATTTTTAAGATGGTATATTTTGAAACTCAAACCAACATTTACAGTTATAAAAGGGAAAATTACAAAGAACACAGAAAAACACTGACACCAAAAATACTAAATAGAGCAGCTTAATTATTTATGTACAAACCAAATATAATTATTTCATTTGGAAAGAAAGTCCCCCACCACCCAAGTATTATTGGTCAGGATGCATAATAGCTCTTCAGTGAGAATTACAAAGGCTAAAGGCTACAAAAGGTAAATATATAAATGTTTTATACTTTAAGAAAAATAAGCAAATAAAACTCGGCCTTATATATTTCTTAATCTGGTTCATTTGAAGTAGACTTTTAAAATTAAATATATTATATGGTAATTTGATTATTTCTAAACACCTAATAAATAGGTATCAAAGACTAGAGATTAATCTGCCAATTAGTAGCTTAGTAAAATTTTTAGAGTTTTATCTCTTATTTTTAAAGAGATGTTACATAGAAATCAACCTAAATGCATAAGGGGTATTAAGTGCCTGGCATCTTGAATATATACTCAAAGAGTTCTAATATAATTGAAATTCAGAATTTATAAGGGCAGTTCTTAGAATAACCACAAGGTTAATTTTTTTAAGTTACTTTAAAATTCGGAGACTTTAAATCAATCTACAATGGATTCAAAGACACAAAGTAAAGTCAAGGAATTTAAAATACATAATTAATAAGACTGAGTACATACGATTGTGTGTATATTTGATTCATACTAAACATTTTTAAAGATGCACACAAAGAAATCACAAAATGTGACCTTATTAGGCCACAAAGAATCAATAAATTTCAAAAGAAGAAATGGTGCAAGCTTCATTCTCTGACCACAGCACAATAAAACTGGAAGTTCTTAAAAAACTTTCAACAGATAAACAAATATCCTTTTAAAAGCTTTCTTAATACTTCAAAATTAAACAACAACAAAAATCTTCTAAAAATTATTTGGACAGAGAAGAAGTAAAAGTCCAATAAGAGGGACTTCTGCTTCAGGATATGACAGAGTAACAGCAGCTAGATTTACTCTTTTGTCTTATATAACTAAAAAAACTGGACAAAATATGTAAAAAATGGTTTTCAGACACTGGACTCAATGCAGGCCAGCTCAGTAATCACTGAGAGAAAGGAAACAAGTTAAGTCTTAACAATTGCCTCAGGCTGCAGAGCACGAAAGGGAACCTAAGCACAGTTCAGCAGCTTCCCCAAGTTGAAGAGACAGTTAAGAATTCAGGAAGGCCAATGTGACTAGAATTCATACAAATGAGTACCAGAGAGGAGACAGCGGCAAAGACAGCCCCAGAGATCTGCAGAGGGTTCCTCTCACATTTTCATCACAAAGCACATGTTTGTGAGAAAACCCCCCAAGGTGAAGGAACTACTGGAAAGCGGGAGGCAGAAAAATTCCCAGTTCTGTACTCACAAAGGGCTGGGAATAGTTCATGTTACCAACAGCAAGAGTTACAAAATCTCATAATATACAGAAAATTGTGTGAGTACTCAGAAGGTTATTCCCTCAGCAGTGGCACCAAATTAGCCCTAGATTAAAGATTGTACTAGTTCCTCCTAATAGAGCTTAAAAGTAAGCCTTTGAAAAGATCAAATTCCTTCCAAATAACTTAACTCCATCTTAGAGTAGAATTCAAAATTGTTTAAAGGAATTTTTAAAAACCTAGCACACAACAACATAAAATTCACAATGTTTGGCATCCAGTCAAAAATTGTCAGGCATCCTCCCACAACCAGGCACCCCATGCCAGTGCCTCGGGGCCCGCCCAGTGACCTGGGGTATGGAACAGGGGACTGGACCACCCTCCCACAGCCAGGCACACCGTGCCAGCACCTCGGGACCCACTTGGGGATCTGGGGCATGGAACCGGGGATCGGACATTCTCCACAACCATGCGCACTGCCAACACCATGGAGCAGGCCAAAAACATCTCCTCCATGTGGGCAGCCCACCACAGCCACCATGATAACCATGGCTGTCGTGAAGGTGGCTAGATGCCACAACCACCATGCAGATGGTCCACCAGCCACTGGAGTGAGTTGACACAAGGAGAGTCACCAGCAGAGAGAAAGAAAGGAGGAGGATGTCTGTCTACACAGCACCCATTTCATAGTGACAGAAAAGACATCTGCTCTATGATAGTATTGGGGAACCTGATCATGCCTCTCAGCATTGGACAGATCATTTGGGCAGCAAATCAACAGAGTAACCATTATTCTTTCAGAGGGAGAGAGGAAATCTAGGGTGATTAGAGGTGGGAAGGGGAGAGGAAGGGGGATGAGATGGGATTAGACAAGGGGCATAAAGAATAATTACAATTTGTAACAATATATATGCGAGAAATATTGATTTGATCAACACATCTCAATGTTGAACCCCCAAAATATATAATGTATAATCAATTTTGATTCAATAAAAATAAAAAAATAATAAAATAATAAAAATAAAAAAATTATCAGGCATGCAAAGTAGGAAAATACAATGCATAAAAAGGAGAAAAATCAATCAATAGAAACAGGTGCAAGGAGGTATAAGAAAAATAAGGATGTTAAGAAGAGATGTGGAAAATATAAAAACAAACCCAAATCAAATTTCCAGAGATTAAAACTGCAATTTCTGAAATAAAAATTCTGCTTAATGGAATAAACAGCAGATTAGATACTGCAGAAGAAATGATTAGTAAACTTGAAGACACAGCAGCAGAAGTTATCAAAATAAAACATCAAGAAAAAAGATTTAAAAAAAAAAGAACACATCCCTGAAAAATTGCAAACCTTCACGCAGCTGTGTGTGTGTATTTTGGATTTAAATTATGTATATATACTTAATATATACATATATTTATTTATATATATAAAAAACTCAAATTCCAAAAGGAGAGAGGAGAAAAAGAAAAGTTTGAAAATAAGGGCTGAAAATTTTCTGAATATTATAGATATTCCAAGTAATACAGAATTCTCAAAAACAAAGAATTCTAAAAGGAGCAAGAGAAAAGCGTCAAGTCACCTATAAGGGAGCCCCAATCAGCTAACAGCAGACTTCTCAACTGAAACCCTATAGACCAAAAGAAAGTGAGATGATATATTCAAAATACTAAAAGAAAAAAACTGCCAGCCAAGAATTCTATACCCGGCAAGGCTATCCTTCAGAAATGGGGGAGAAATAGTGTATTTCCCAGACAAACAAAAATTGTAGAAGTTCAATACCACATGACCAGCCCTGCAAGAAATTTGCAAGGGAATCCTGCATCTGGAAACTGAAAAAGACTATCATGGATACACAAGAAAGAGAAAACCTGTCATTAAAACAAAAATGCAAGTAAGAAAGAGAAAGAAGCTAAATTATGCCACCTCAAATTTCCAGCTAACATTGAAGATGAGAAATAAAAGGGGAAGAAATGAAGAAAAGATTATTTAAAACATCTAAACAAAAAGCAGTAAAATGACAGGAATAAAACAATACCTGCCAATAACAGCCCTAAACATAAATGGATTAAACTCCCCATTCAAAAGACACAGGCTAACTGATTGGATTAAAAAGCTAGACCCAAGTATATGCTGTCTTCAAGAGATTCACCTCACCTGTAAAGACACACACAGATTAAAAGTGAATAGATGTAAAAAGATATGCCATGCAAATGGAAACCAAAAACCAGCAGGAGCAGATATTCTTATATCAGATAAAATAGGCTTTAAGCAAAAAAACCATAAAAAGAGACAAAGAAGGCCACTATATAATGATAAAGGGATCTATCCAGTTAGAAAACATATCACAATATTAAAGCACCCAGATATATAAAGCAAACAGTCTTAGACCTAAAGAAAGATACAGACCCTAATACGATAATAGTGGGTGACCTGAACACCCGTCTCTCTTTGGGACAGATCTTCCAAGAAACAAATCAACAAAGGGACACAGGATTTAAACTACATCTTAAACCAACTGGACTTGGCAGATATCTACAGAACATTTTATACAACAACTACAGAATATACATTCTCCTTATCAGCACATAGAACATTCTCCAGGACAGACCACATTAGGTCACAAATCAAGTCTCGGCAAAATAAAAAAAAAAAATTGAAATCATTCCAAGTATCTTTTCAGATACAACCAATACCACAGATATAAAAAGATTATTAGAGACTATTATAAACAACTGTGTGCTAACAAATATGAAAACCTGGAGGAAATGGATAAATTTCTGGACACATACAAACTACCCAGACT